ACTATGGAACTTTGTGGGTACTTTGTGATACGTTAAAGATTTCATAAAAGTTATTAGTTCGATTGATAATTGTACACTGAATGTATGCCGACAAGCGCTTTCATTTACCTAATCTGAGATATGATTATCATTTTAAAGTGGAAAGATTTAGCTTTGTGTAAGGAATAAACTCAAAAACTTATGATTCTATCATAGGCTGAGTAACATAGGCTATATTCATATTATAAAGTGTTTAAAAATAAAATGTCCGCTCTCACGAGAGTGACACGAGCCTAGTACTAGACAATTTAGAAAGGATTTCTTTGAATACGAAAAATCTATTAGAAGTGTCCCGTCAATATGGGGCTTTTCTCCCTCGACAGCTCCATTTACCTGCGGCATTAAATCCCCCAGGGGCTCAGGAAGGACGATACTATCAGCACTTTGTCAGGGAAAAACCCAACGTTCAAGCCGCGGTTAGTGATGGGACGATATGTTTCTACCGGCGGCATTTTATTACATCATTGCGTGTAAAAAATGTTCGTATTGTCTTGCAATTTTCATCCGTACGATCTATCATACCAAAAATCAGACTCGCAAACGATCGCATAGCTATTGTTCTACCATCGTAAAGTAGCTATAAAACGTTCTTTAAACGATAACCCGACCGTTTCGAGGCGTGTACACAACTCGAACGGACCACACGTGCGCCCACATCTCATTAATTCAATCGATACGCCCTCACTAAAACATTATGTTACAAACACTATCACATCAATTTATTGCCGTATAAACCCGTCGAATGAAAACGTATGCTACATCAACGATACCTGTAGTTAAATTGCGCATCTTTTATTTTGTTACTTATAGTAATCTTTTCAACAGTTTTGTTAGGTGTCATCGATAACAATCAACAGTTGCTAAAATGTTCCATACTATTTGTTTACTCATAAGTTTAATAGCAACGTAATGTTTTAGATGCATAATATAGGGGATATTAGACTTGTTCAAAGGCCTCTTCGGTCTATATTTGTGAGAATTACCCGTGTAGTTTAATTATGAGGTTTTTATATATCTGCGAAAAACTTATTTATCTATCTTTAAGATAGATTATAAAATAAGAAGTTTAATACTGCACAAATGTATCAAATCAAGCCAGACGACTGTTAGGTTTTGGATACAAAAAGTTTCAAGTCATCCTATATTTGAAAACCCTAATGTGAATAAAAATTGTAAGACATTACAACTTTTTCTGCTATTATCTCCATGTATTAAAGCTACGCGTTTTAGTAGACGATGAACAGATGCATTTAAAGAACATTATAAATGCATTAACGTAATAAAAGTCCACCGCAGGCTTTATTGCGTACGAACGGTATAAGAAATTCTCAACTGCGTGTATAAAGTATTCTTTGAAACAAAATTAAAGGTTAACGACCATCCTAGCTTGTTGTGAAGTAAAGAAATTACGTATGGGAAGAAACTTTAGCTGTTTAGTAGTTACTAGAGTTTTTGTGGTTTTGCTTTCCCGACTTTACCCCGGAGGGCATGACCTCGTGCGTGACGTCATCCCGTAGATGAATGAACATTCCCCCCTCTCTTCAAGCTCCTGTCCGAGTCAGTTTCACTCTGGCGATGAGGTCGAATATCAGCCGCAACAGCTGTTCTTTCTCCAGACAGAATTCTTTGTTAAGGAAAAGTTTTTCCGTCAGTTTTATCGATACAATTGAGTAACTAAGAACGTTAAGGAATCAAATAAGAAGAAATGAAAGAATAGTTTCACCGACCGTGCCAAGTTCTAACATTTATTACTTTACTATTTTTGTATATTAACATTTACAAATTAAATGATATTTAATTCACATAATACTTACATTGGATTTACTATGTTGTTCTTTAATTGTAAAATGTTAATTTTTTAATTAAAAATGCTTGCAGGTATCAAGGCCTATTCACAAAGTGAAACATACAAATTCTAATATAAACTCGGATATGTTTTTTTCTATTAAACATAAGGAAATCTTGAACCGGAGTTTAGCAATTCAAAGTGGAATGGAACAAGTATGTAGGAACAAAAAAGATGTTCCTGCAATTAATAAAGCTGATCCGGTTTGTTTTCTTAGGTCGGCGACGCCTAAGGGTCGACTGTAGTGAGTCATCTCGGTGCTCGACCGTACAAGGCTCTGTCCTATGTAACTGTCACCGCGTTGCAGTTCAATTGATAAAACATCCATATTACAAAACGGCTAATCACATTTCATACGTGGCTGCAACACGACTTTTGCATAAATGTTTTTTTAAACAAAAAGTTTTTAATATACTGGCGCACTAGGCGTATTGTACAATGTCGTATTCAAGAATATAGCAACTACAACAAAGGCGCCGCTATGAGATTCAAAATCTACTTGGATATTAAGGAAAACCGGATGATTGATGTTCATTCGCTGCTTCTTTTGTGTGATGATAATGTTGTAATGGTTTCTGATGTATTAAAACCTCTCGTATATACCTAAAATAGCGACTACTATAGTGTTTATTTTATTTTATATTATAATCTCCCATATTTAAGGCCTACTACGCCGCATCATATTTACCTTGAACTACGGATAAAATAATATACTTTATTTCACTTGTATGTGATACTAGTTTCTGCCCGCGACTACGTCCGCTTGAAAATTTAAAAAAAAACTTAATTAGTAGCCTATGTGTTCTTCCAGACTATGTTCTACATGTGTGTCAAATTTCATCAAAATCCGTTCAACCCTTCCTGAGACCTTCAAACAAACACCCATCCATTCAACAATCCAAACTTTCGAATTTTTAATATTACAATGATTACTAAGATATGTGAAATGTATATAGTCTACATAAATACACAGCGTTTACGACGCACTGTTTTCCCCTCCTTAAGTATGTCACTAATTTGGTCGATATGTCCCCCTAGGGCGAACAGAACAGTAATATAAAATAGTCGTAAATTAAAGTCATTTGGCCGTTGAACTCTTAAAAGCAATGAACACTACTTTATTGTTTCAATTTCAAGAGACGCATTATTTTCTCATTTCAATCCATTTGAGTGTACGCAACTGATGTTGTTTCTTTTTATTAAATTTACTTCCATTAAAGTAGCGGAAGATTGAAAGAGTAACTCTTGATGTTTATCTTGAATATTCAACAAGAAGCCATACATGTTTCGTGATTTCTTTGTTCGCCTTGACCTTCCGGCAGCCGGTCTGTGACCGCATACTAACAAGACGGCGTACGATGCTTCCATATTACCTCAAGGTACATTGCTTTCAAATGTGAATGTGCATAAACAAACGCCATAGTGTGACTTTATAGCTGTCAAATCAAAAATAATAGTTAAGGTCAGTAAATTTGTTACGTTTTTTTTATTTATTTCACATTAAAATAAAACATAATACATTAAAATAATACACACTGAAGTATCTTGCAGACCCCGAAATAGGCTGGGCCTGTATCTCGGGGCCTAGGAGTGCACTAGCCATGAACAAAATGACAGTGTGTACAAATCATGAAATACTAAGCGTGATATTATGAAATACAATTACAATTAGGAAAAAAAATAAGAAAATACACGAAGACATTAAACTAAGTAATACTTTTAAAGTGTTGGTCAAAATATATTTACGGAAATAATATTTTGTATAGTTTCTAGTGATTTTTGGTAGGTTAAAGTTATTTGGATATGTTATTATCAAATTATGCTAAGATGGATGTGCGGTGTGACAAGGAAGGATAAAGTTAAAAATGTGTATATTAGAGGAAGTTTGAAAGTAGCGCCAGTGATCGAGAAATTGAGGAGTAAAAGATAAGCGTGGTTTGGACATGTTATGAGGAGGGATGATGATGATATAAGCAAAAAAGTAATGAGATTGAATGTGGATGGCTACAAGGGTAGGGGAAGACCAAAAAAAGTATGGAATGACTGTGTGAAAGAGGATATGCGTAAGAAGGGGGTAGACTCGGATATGACGGCTGATAGAGATGTATGGAGGAGTAGTACATACTGTGCCGACCCTCGATAGGGATAAGGGCAGGTTGATGATGATGATGATAAAGTTATTTGGATAGCATAATAAAAACAGCGTTGTTAGTGTTGTAACTAGTTTGTAATATTATTGTGGAGTTTTTTGCAATATGCATTTGAAAAAAACTTCTGTTAAAATGGTTATTTAAACTTAGATTGTTTATCTAAGTTTTATAATAGTCACGCCTAATATACAAGTGAATGGATTGGTTATAAAAAATTGTAACGATAGAATGACGTAAATCATTTTTTTTTAAGAATTCTAATATTCATGTAATTTGGCTTAATCAACATCACAATATGTAGTATGTTAAATGGAATTGTTCTTGAATCACAAGATTTCTATTTATGATTACTAAAGCTAGATTAACATAGTGTTGGATTATATCCGAGCATTATTGTGAATGATTTCATAACACAAATAAATTCACATGTATAAATATTTGAGTAAGATACTTAGTAATTAACACTTCAAAAAATCATTTCTAATCTGGTTTACCCTTTCAAATACATACTTATGTATGTAAATGCATTTAAATCTAGCTTATACTACGTTAATGGAGCGCGAGAAATAAAGATTAACAAATTTTATCAAAGCCGATCCGGTTATGTAGATATCCTTGAGTTCATTTCGACGAACTGTCGATTTTTGCTAGTGTTTGATCATTGCTGTGGTATGTTACATACAAATGTAAGCATGATCTACTAATCGATATAAATGTTAGTATCAAAACTGATTGTGCGCACTATGACACATTGACACAGACTCCCACTTTCATATTATAACGGAACTCTGCAAAAAATGTTCCGGTCTCAAGTTGAGAAAGATACCGGATGCAAAATCTTCAAGCTCAATAGGAACTATTCAATATCCCTGCGTTCTACTTTAGTTGTTTTGCGCGTTTTTTTTTGTTATTTGTTTTCGGGTCAGGTTAGACTACATTTTTTTTTTGTTTTCTTTTCTTTGCAGTTACGTTTGTGCGGGGCCACGCCCGTGTAATCTTTGGCTGGGAATCCGATGGCTACGGATGATGTCGGTTTAGTGGTTACTCGGTGATCGGTGATAGTGAGTCGTTGGCAGTGAGATTATCGCCGCGCCGCGCAGTGCGCCAGTGTGTAGTTGCCATTCAGTGGTTCAGTGATGTGACATTCTATGGAAGTATCGGGGCGTACTCGGAATGTTCACCAAGCACGGCAAGGCCCCTGAGAGGTGCCATCATCTCCACTCGCATAGGAGCTGTAAGAAGAAAAAGCCACCTCCACACACGCCGTGGAAGTACTTGATGAATTGCCCACTCGTTAGAAAATGTTTTGGTATAGTATTTCTGTTTTTTTTTTATTTTATTACTTTTTATTTTTTTCGCGTTTAGTCTTTTTGTGAATACAATTCCTTCCTCATTGTGTCGTTTCAATCAATTTCGTACGAATTGACAACAAAAACGATTTTAATGATAATTCAGTGAAACAGTTTACCTGCACGACCGGTGAGGGGTAGAGTGAAAAACTTGAAATCTCTCAAGGACGTTGCTTTTAGGCTGTCGACAGGAGATCGTTATGAAGTGTTCATGTTTTTGGCATAGATATTGCGAGAATATGACACTTAAAAGTTATGCTTAAAATGTAATTTATCTTGAATTATTAGAATCATTTAATTTTTTAAATTGTTGAACATTATAAAAAAATAATCTTGGTCTTAAACACGTAAAGTTTTTATGTAAAGTTACCACATTTTGCCTCAAATATATTTATACTGTATCTATTTTATACTTAGTTAAAAACCACTTTAGTAGTTTATGCTTAGTTGAAATAAGTTCCAAATAATACACAACTTATAACTTAACTAGTGGTCGCCTGCGACTTCGTAAGCATAGAAAAAATCTTTCCCGTCAAAATCTGCCCGGTTAATCCAGAGATTGCACGAAAATGCGACCTTGCGGACAATCAGACGGACATATAGACGGAATTTTGGAAATCGGTATTTCGTTATCAATAACGCAAATACACCATATGTACGACAACCAAACTCCAATTTTATTATACTATGACTTTGTCAGCGCATGAAAACGAAGGAATATTTTTTTTCCGTGATGATCAACGCAAATATTATTCGCGAAATATGATTTCTGTCAGATACTTCATACAGACACTCCAATTTTATTAATTTATAGATAGATATGGTTCAGAGCCGGCGACCTTCGTTTCTCTGTTAGAAAAATGTCTGTCAGCGCTGGAATTTTCCGTTTCATCATTTAACAAAACACACAAAACGTGGACGTTGACTGATGGAAAAACTTTTTTGCGATAAATAAAATTGTTTTACATCTAATTTTTATTTTATTGGCAAGAAATAAAACTAACGTTATTAACATTATATTTTTTTTGTTAATCATTGGAACACGATAAATGTAGTTTTAAAACAAAACAATAAAGTTTATTCCCAAACATTCTGCAATGCAGATTGTTAATCTCATTGAGAGAGATTTTAATACTTCTGAAGATTTACGAGACATGGCAAAATAATAATTCACATGCTTTGTTCGAATCACTAGTTTGGCGTGGGAGGAGTTGGGCCGTGCGTCTCAACGAACGGTCACTGAAATGCAGCCAAAACATCACTGGCTACGTATTTTCAAAACTTACTAGACTAACCTTATAGAAAGTTTTGACTATAGTAAGGCTACCATTGACTGTCGTTATATAGTCTTAAAGTTCTAAACTATGTGAAAAGATTTTGCCTACACTAATTCTAATAAAATGTCCATACTATGGATCTACAGTTGGGTGGTTTAGTTAGCTAGTTGTTAAGTATATATGTTGGATGTTGGTTGGATGTATCTCGGATGATCTTCGGCCGATGAACGAACCCGACCTTGCGGCGGCATTCCGCGACGTGCCGACTGATCGAGCGATCTCCCTCTAGATTAGTCGCGTCTGCAATCGGCGACCGACCGTGATTTGCAGGGAATCGGTCATTAATCGTTACTACAAGAAAATATCTTGCACACGGTAATTTTGATGTCCTATACACAAGTACTCACGCCTATAACCCGATTATGTTTTCAAATATCGCCTTTCTTTAGATGTTACCAATCTTATTGGTCTAGACGATCTGTAATGATGGTCTTTGTCTAGATATTATGTGAATACAATTTGATTAAAGTACTTCGGAGTGGTTGAGATCGTCAATTGGTTACATCTTGTTGTGTAGTGGGCACGTGTCGAGTGACTGTCCTCTTCATTCGCGGAAGTAAATAAATTAAGATAATTTACTTATTGCGTGACCAAATCAATTTCAATTTCGACTGAGCTCTGATTTTTGTTACATCCTTTATTTCGGCCAGGTGGGATAGTACTATAGAGGTATTGAACGGAATAAAGTAAAGGCTTTTCAACAATTATTATTCTATGTCGTTATATTCCAAAGTCATTTAATATGAGTATCTTATAAGGATGATCGCAATGTATTCAGTTAAAGACTGCAAGGGGCACTTACATATGCCGCGTACATGGCGAACATTGGCCATTGTCTTTGTTAATTCTATTGACAATGACATCATTTGTTATGGGTCGCCCCACCAAGGAGAGATTTCAAGAACGTCAGCCGGTTTTTACCTTGTCAACAAACCAGTTGTCAGACCTATCGCTTAACACGTCACCTTTATCGGAAGCAGGGAATGAAGCTAATAAAAAAAGATACTCGAGCTTGTATCTTGTCCCCGACAGTCATGCCTTTCTTATTCATGTTGTTGGACTTGTAAGGTTTTATTTCGTTGTCTTGCTCAAGACCAGAGAGGTTCAGGCCGTCACAAATTTTAATTAATCTTTGATTAATCTTATTCTTTGAATAATTGATTTTATAAAAATTATAAAATACAATTTAAAATAATTTATAAAATTAATTTAAATAAATTTATAAAATTCAATTACTAAAAATTCATCAAGAACATTATATTAAACAATAATTAAATGAGATAAATAGTCATAAAATTGTGTTTTGTAATTTTTAATTTAATTGCCTAACATTTGATTCTCTGAGTATTAATGTGTAAAATATTTATCTTACATGAGTAAAATATGCAAAATTTTGGTTTGAACAATACATAAAACTAAAAATAAAATTAAAAAAATTAACGACGTGTTTTATTTTTTCATGGCAAGGTATTGTAAAAACGAGATTTGATATCTCTAAATGTTAATTCATTTAAATTCGACTTATCGACTTATTTATTTAACTATTATTTAAATTTTTAACTTTAACAAAACATAAAAACATCTTTATAAAGTTAGAAACATTAGGCATTTTTTGCACATAGTCGAGTCAATAAGTCCAGCGACGTGTTGAGTGAACTCACTTGTTGCGCTTCGGCAATGACGGCGACGTCCATCCTCTAAGTTGACGGTTCATTACGTTACATTAACCGCACTCGGCACGTCGACCGGCGGCCCTCAAGTCTGGCTAGGTGTAGGGCCCTGTCGATAACGGTGTACTCTTCTAACGACATTTTAATGCTCCGACTTGCAAAATTTATTATCTCTGGCGCCAAGGGCCGTCTTCAATCTTCGACTACGCAACTATTTTGCCTCTTATTAGTTTATGTTTATACTTGAACTGTTCAAGCTTTGAATGTAACTAATTCGATGGTCATAGTTAAGTAAACATTTACTTGGCTCACGACAATTTTGAATGAATATTTCACATGTATGTACTTGATACGTGAATTATTTAAAACAAAACGTCACGATTAGGTTTTTTTTGTTTATACAATTACATTTGCTTCTTACATTACCAGAACTGTAAGTATAGGTGATGACATCATGATTACTCGCGATTCAACTAATAATATTTTAGTTCGAATAGGCTCTTTTGTAATCACATGCTATGATAAATTATAGTAACTGTTCTACGCAGTTGTTTGAATATTATTCTCTTTTGTCGTCTGGCCTATTAACCTAACACCTTTGTGTTTAGTTTTTTTGTTACGAATTACTATTATATTGTACACAAAGGTAATGGTTCTATCTACATTGTTTAAACGCGATAAGCTAATTAATAAGTCAAGGAAAGCTTTCAACGTTTGTTTCTTATGCAACTTTGTAAGGTTTTATTAATATTTTTATAATAAAAAAAAATCTGTTTCATTTATATACTTACTTGTATTAAAAAAGCAAGTTTCCCTTTTACTGGTGTAAGTACTTAATTAACCTTTTAACCAACCGGTTTTAATATACTTTCGTTCTTCTTATTTTTGATTCCTATTGTTCCTGTAATGCGCTGGAATATTGTGTCAAAATTAGCACACTGTAAATATTGCTGCAAATAGTTGGAATATTAACCAATATCTATACCAGCATTTTACGTGCGTTTAAGATTCAAAGATATTAAAAAAATGTGCAATTTACTATCTGAACCAAAAGAGATTCTATTATTTACTGTGAGATACAACTGCTAAAAGACATAGTTATTCCATTCTCTTTGAAAAAAGTTATGCAAAAACCCGCTGTCTTATTACGAACTGATTTTAAAATCAGTACCGAATTATCCTTTGATACATAAACGTGTACTGTCGAGTGGGCCACGACTTTTCCCGGATGAATACATAAAAGGTGCTTAATATTCACCGCTGTCGCCACAGATTGCGTTACCTTGTCGCCTCAAGGGACTTATTGCATATTGCAACATCTGCGGAAGGATCTGCTTAAGAAGCTCTTAAATATAAGCTTAAGAGGTTTTTTTTGGGTGAAATCGAAATTACACATTACTACAGTTCTATGAGGAAATTTTACGCGAATTGTGCGACCGCTATTGTAACTATTTTAATATTGAACGTTGCTAATTTTCAACGTTGACTTGACTATGGCCTAATCGCCCTTAACTTAGGGTAGGCTCCGAGCCCCTCGGTGGGGACGTATGGTGAGCTGATGATGATGATGAATTTTCAACGTTTTATTGATGCAAACATTAGCAGTATTTCTTTTTTATGACGTTTATCAAAGCCTTTACAAAAGATTACTGAATTTGATAATCAAATAATTGGTAACTTCTTCTGTTGTCATTTTTACTTCTGCTCTCGACCGTTAAAATAATGCGCCAACATACTAACATAGTTTAAAAAGACTTATGAATAACAAAACATTGGTAGTAAACCTGAATCATTTTTTTTTCGTTTTATTTATTTATTACTACGGCTTTGAAAAAAAACCTAATTAGTTAATCAAAGATCATAATAAAAACACCAATTATTAATTTAATAAATAATGAATACTAAATAAAATTCGCAGCACAAAAAAATGTAAACAGGTTACTAGTTATCATA